AGCAAACTAACACAGGAGCAAAAACCAAACACTGCATACTCTCACTCATAAGTGGGAGCTGAACATTGAGACCATATGGACATATAGAGGGGAACAATACACACCAGGGCCTGTTGGGGGTGGGAGTTGAGGAGAGGGAACTTAGAGGATGGGTAAACAGGTACAGCAAATCACCATGGCACACGTATACCTATGTAACAAACCTGCACGTTCTGCACATGTATTCCGTGTTTTTAGAAGAAATTTTAAAAACATTTTGATCATTTTCTTACTATTTATACCAATTCTGTTAGTAAACTAAAATTCTCTGAGAGTTTCCTTCTTGCAACTCTATATCAGAACAACTGTTCTTTCATAATAAAATAAAAATATGCTTGGTGGAAAAAAAATCACTCCACCATTATACAGAGCATACACGTCATAGTTGTAGCCAAGAAATCTCTAAAAAAGGAGCAATTGATGCAAACTTTGACCACAGAAGAAATTAGTAATAAGAAACCTATGAAATATGCCATATCATGAAATGTGCCTTCCTGATGAACTTGTCAGGATGAATTAATTGCAAAATATACTACCTAGTAATTGACTTGACTGCTTCATAGACTTGTTTGTAAAATGAGAATTATACCTTTTTCCTAAGATTTGTATGTGAATTAAATAATATGTAATCAAGCACTTGTGCACATTTATCCTTATTAAGTCTGACATCTCCAAGTTACCTTTAGCTCTGTTCTTTCTCTTACCCTTCTCTAAATCCCCATATACACTTAGTTGTTAAATTCTATAGATTTTAATTTTTTGAAGTGGCTCAAAATAGCTTCAGTTTTCCATTTCTATTAGATCTCTAGCATAGGTACTCACTTCTCTCAAATCTGTTTCAATAGCTCCTTTCATTCCATGATTCATTTATTATTTTTTTTTGTTCAACAGACTCATGCATCTACTATGTTCTAGGCACTGTGTGAGATGTAGATTGTACTGTGGTGAAAAAACAGACAATGCCCTTGACCTCACTGAACTTCTTTTGTATTGAGGGTATTCAGCAACTTACACCTCTTTAATAGTAAATGCTTCCAAGAATAAGCCAGGGAGAAAACCCAATGGGCCTATTTTTCTTTGCCATAAGTCTCATGGAGTTTTCATCTTGGAAGCATAACTTCATATCACTCGTTGCCTCAAAACCCCTCAGTGGTTCTTCATTGCCTTATGCATGAATACCAACTCTTCTGCCTACTTTTAAGGTTCTAGATTGTCCCTAATATAATACTCTGCTATTATCTGAGGTTAAGTGGATTCCAGGTTCATTATAAACATTTCAGATCCTAGCAACACTTGTTACTGCCAACCCAAGGTCTTTCTCACTTCTTCTCCAGGTTGGGTTAGATACCTTTCTTTCTCCTCTCATAATATCGTGTATTATTGCCTTTCTTCTACCATAATACCTCTTTCCTCCTCTTCTTTCCCAATATACTATGTTGAGACCTGTATCAAAAAAACCTCTGCCCTGCTATCATCAGCCTATTTCCCCATACCACCTAGGCCGCACTTCACCAGGATCCTATAAAAGGGTGGAATCACCTGACTCCACCAGACTATCATGCTAAATATTCAAGTACATAACTTTTGAACCATTTGCCCACTGTGAAAATTACTCACATGAAATATCACATAAACTTTTCCTTTAGTCAAATCTGAACATCCTACTCATCTGACTTCTTGCTTCTCTAAGCGTTTCAGGGTGGGTTATGGAACTTTCTTTATGTGGTTCATCAGGCTCCTCTATATTCCCAACCTCTCTTTCACATGTATTTTGAGTTCCTTTCCTTAAAAGCAATCTGACTTTTCCCTGAAGAGTGCCACTGCAGTCCTCTTAAATGGTTGTCTTGTTGAAGGAAAATGATAATTACAAAGAGACCAAATAAAAACCTTTTTCAGCCAGTAAATTCTGGTTTCATAATTTTATGAATTGATTAATGTTAAGAGATTAGTGAAAGTGGCTGTGACAAAAGGGTGAAGAGGTCCACAGGAAGTGATGCTGCTACACTTTGTATTAAAGAATTCCTGGGAATAGTTCACAAGATTGAAAATGCAAAGATAAAATGTTGGAAGCTGATCTAAACTTAGAAATCAGAATGACAATTTATCAATATAGAAGATTAAGTAATAGTATGAGAAGAGGCAAACAGTTCACACTACTATTGGTAACTTTGTTTTCTTTGTTTTTTTTTAAACAAAGAATAAGACTAATTCTCCATGTTTCTCATGTTTTAAATTATGGCATACTAAATAAATTAGTTTTACAATTTAAAAAATTCCTGATATATTTCTACCTAGCAGTAAGAGAGTTTTTGATGTTTCAACAAAAGTTCTTAAGTGTCGCTGAACAATTTTAATTTTTCTCTTTGATTATTAAGATCACCTTGCACGATTTCAACTTCTATAGTCATTTTTGTAGTCCTACCATGCCAAGCTTGGACTGGCTGTATGCTAGTTTCTCAATTCCTTAACCAACTCACATTCAATTGCCTTTTACTTCCTTTTACTCCTCTACACCTTGCTATTGCCAATATTAGTATGACCTCTGAAATCTTTATTTCAAGCAAGTTATTTTCATGCAATCATTTTCTGTCCTTTCAGCTCACCACCTCTAGTACCCTGAAGACAGCCACTCTTTAATCTTATTGAAATCGCCAGTTCATTGGCTTCTGTCAACCATTTATAGCCCTCTAATTTCCTTCCTTATTCAGCTTACATTTCAGGGCTCATCATTATAATCACTCCTTTCCAAACACACTCCAATTGTTTTGTCTCTCTTCCTCACCTAGAAAACTCCTTTGTGAATGAACCCTGTTATCTGCTTTGTCCAAGCCTGAATCCAAGTAGCTAAGCTTGACTGAGAACCTCACAAAGCCAGACTGGCTAGTATCACTTTAAATTCATGACCACAAGTCTCAAGTAGGCAAAGCACTTGGCATCCTGGAAACTTTGCTTTCTTGCTCTCTGACACACCTTATTCTTCCTCAAATCTTCTGTATCTCTCTCCTTTACTCAACTGTCAACTGATTTTCCCTTTATATTTCATTAAGGAAAGAAAATATGTCAGAAATAAAAATCCTTCGTTTTCCACTTACCTGCTTGCAGCTGCAGCCACCTTCTGTCTTTCCTGTTAGAATAGGTGGATTCTGCTTCTCATCTAATACCTGTGCTCTGGGGCCCATTCCTTCTTGCCTTCTTACAAGCTGTCTTCCAGTAGCATTTCCTCTCTCTGCTCAATCATGGTTTTCCACCTTTGGACTCAGTCATTCTTGTTAGCATACCAACTGTCTTCCATCTTAAAAACATTACTACCACCTCTCCAGATACTCTCTTTCTCCATTACTTATAATACTAAAACTTCACAGAAGAGTTGTCTATACTCTGGCTCCAATTCCTAGTCTCCCATTCCTCCCCTAATCTACTTCAATTTAATTTCTGAAACCATCACTTTGCTGAAATAGCTTGAAACAGTCAAGATAGTTAATTACCTTCAGGTTGCTAAATACAATGGATACTTCTCTGTCAATTTACTAACTTCTCCATTGAGAGAGGTGACCAATTCCTTTTAAAAACACTCTCTCCTTTCAGTTTACAGTAATTTACACTCAGTTTTCTTCTTTTTCCTTCTCTGTCTTACTTCCACAAGTTGAATACCTTTGGACTTCTTGGTTTTGGGCCTTATTTTCACCTATATCTGCATAATCTAAGTGGTCTCATTCAGTTTCATGGTTTTTTTTTTCCCCTTATCACTGTATTTCCAGGGCCTAACTCAGGGTGTAACTTATTAAACAATAAGGCAGTATTTGATGAATGAATAGTTTTTTATATCTCCATCATTTAACATAGTTCTCAGTTAATATTTGGCTTGCCATAAAGTATTTGTGGAATAATTGAATGGTCATTATTATTATTACCATATAAATGAGGAAATGGAGGGTCAGAGATATTAAATAATTTACTTGTGGTCACACAGCTAGTAAGTGGCACATCTGGGATTCAAACCAAAGTCTTAACTCTAAATCCTTGTTCTCTCCATTACATCATAGTACCTCCCTACGTATTTGGTCCTTAACTCCTAGAATCCATCTTCATTTACCTTATTTTTATGCCAAACTGGAATGACTGATGTACCTGAATATGTCGATTTTCCCCCCTCAGCCTGTTATGGACTTGAAACCTAATTTCTACTTCCATTGCACATCTACCTGTATCTTTCCTACCTGTCTTTAAAAGCAGTTTTCAAATTCTATGTCAACCTTGAAATCTCCATTTTTTTTAGTTGCTAGCAAACTCCATTTTTTTTAGTTGCTAGTTGTCTTCCACCTAAGCTGCCTTAAAGTACAATTGTATCTTTGTACAATATTCTATTAGTGTTGAAGCTGCCTATAGGATCCCAATCTATACAGTGCCTCCTTAATATTTTTCCTTGCCTTGCACATTGGAAGACTGAATCAGTATTTGTTGACTCCGGAATCAATTTGCATTTGATCTTGTCAACCTAAATAACAGACAGGTTTGCCAAACATGACAAATGTGAGAGTAGACATTGCAATGTGGAATAAGGTGTCATAGTAAACTATAGGTGTATTGAGGGAGGTAAAGGAAGACAAGGGGTTTACAAGGAAAGTGAGGAGGATTACCTAAGTTGTTTTGAAACAATTATCCTTGGCTATAAATATCAATAACAAAGGGGATGCCAGTCCAAGATTGGGCAGGCAGTTGCTGTGCAAATGTCCTTAAAGCATTTTTTGTGTACTGTTTTGTGGCCTTTGTGCAAGGTTGTGGTTTTGGTAGTTTTTTGTGATAATTCTTGATATCAGGCTATTAGTGAGAACCTACCCTTCATGGCTTTCCTTGACTCCATTTTGTGACAGCTTTCACAATGTAGACAGCTGAAGAGATTTTTTTTTTTTTTTTTTTTTTTACGCTGAACTCTATCCGGAGAATCTGACTCAGGGTCCTGATGAATGAAAACAATTTAGCTGAAAGATGCAGTTTCCTCTTGGCAGATTCAGACAAGGAGTGTAGTGGAAGCTTACACCTGCACGTGACAGGACTGAGGAAGTAGGGATGGTCTGGCCTCAGCTGAGAGAATGAAGCTAGATTAGTAAGGCTTGAAGGCCCGGCATGTCAGTGGTGACCTCTCTGACCTGAGCAAGTGAGCCAAGCTGGGCTGGGCGTGTCAACGACGGTATTTGTCAATGTGACGCCCTAGAAATAATCCCTTTATCTTTCCGAACTTTTGTTGCTGAGTGTAGGCAACAATAATGAATGGAAAGTAAGCGGGATTGTACTTTAAATCTGAGAACATTCTCTATCTTCCAGAACAAGTCATCTGCAGGCGCAGGTAATGGAGTCCGTGATGTCAGCTGTAGACTGGCCGCCCGGGGTCCAGGCTCGGCTCCTCACTTTCCTGTTTTTAGTGCGGTCCTAGAAGAGCCCTGATGCAGCCCGAGATCAGTAATAAATGCAGCTGAAATACTCCGGCTCCCACGTTCTCCGGGAGGTACCTGTCAAGCCGGCCTTCAGGCCCCTGCCCGGCTCCCAGCCAACCGCGTCCTCGGCGGAGGCATCAGCCACGCGGGAACGCAAACCCACGCGGGCCGAATCTCGGCGACTTTTTCCCGCCGTGCCTTCCCCACGCTCCTGGGCGGGCGCCGACAGCCCCCGGGGGCAGCTGCGGATGCCCGGGGAAGCACGGCCGGGACAGGTGGCTCCGCGGCTCCCTTCCGGCGCCGCCAGCTAGAGAGGCGGCCCGAGAACAAAGGCGGGAGAGGGGCGGCGACTGCGAGCGCGCAAAGGCGGAGGCCCGGCAGTCCCCGAGCGGCTTCCGGGGCACGGCGACCCCCGGCGGGGAGGGGGCGGGGCGGGGACCCCCGGGAGGGGCGGGGCGGGGCTAGGCAAGCGCCGCGGGGGCGCGGAGAGAGGGAGGGAGCCAGGGTGACGCGCGGTGGGGCTGGCCCCGGCCGGGCTGGGGGCCGCGGGGAGGGGGCGGCTGCCAGTGCGCCAAGTGGAGACGAGCCGGGCCGGGGCGGGCCGGAGGGCGGGCGGGAGGTGGGGCGCGCCGCGGGCTGGTGGGAGCCGCGGCCGAGTCCAACGCCGGGCCTGAGGCAGCCGCGGGTGTGAGGGGAGCAGCGGGGCTGAGGCGGCGGCGGGGCTGAGGGGAGCAGCGGGCCTGAGGCGGCGGCGGGGCTGAAGAGAGCGGCGGGGGTGAAGGGAGCCCCGGCGGCAGTGAGGCCAGCGGCGGAGCTGTGGGGGGCGGCGGCCGGGCGGGTGGGGCTGACGTGAGTAGCGCCGCCGCCGCCGCCGGGCGTCCTCCATTCCGGCCCACATCCCCGCGCCCTCCCAGCCTCCGGCGCCCTCCCGCGCGGGCTGCGCGCTGGCGGCGGCCATGGCGGTGGCGGCGGCGCTGGCGGGCCGCGGGGCGCGCGGCGGCAGGGGCCGGCCCCCGGGCGGGCGGGCGGAGGGGGCGGGGCCGGGGCGGCGGGGGGCCCGCGCGGTGGCGGCAGCGGCGGCGGCGGCGGCGGCCGGGACGAGGCGGAGGCGACGGCGGCGGCGGAGGCGCGGGGCGCTCGGGCTGATGGCGGCGGCGGCGGCCGGGCCCGGGGCGGCACTGTCCCCGCGGCCGTGCGAAAGTGACCCGGCCACCCCCGGAGCGCAGTCCCTGAAGGTGAGGAAGCGGCCGGCGCGACCCGACCCCAACTCTGACCCCCTCCGGGGCCGGGGCGCGGCGGTCTCGGCCCAGTCCCACCGGCGGCCGACCGGCGTCTCGGGGGCGTGGGCCACAGGCTGTGCGCTGCTCCTGAGACCCGCGGTGGTCGGCGAGGCGGGGCCGGGAGAGGAGCCCACGGCCCCTAGCGAGCAACAAGTGCGGGCGGGCAACGCGGCGCGGCTTCCCTGAAGTTGGCAGCCGGCCCTGTTTGACGAGGTTGTCCCCCAAACGCCTCTTCCCGGGACAGCTGCGGGACAGAACGCGCCCGGGGCGGAGACGTGTCCTCGGATGGGCCTGCAGACGCGCGCGTTCGCTCAACCTTCATTCCGTGCATAGTTTGCTGAAGTGTTTTGAAAGCTTACTGCAAAAAACATTGGCGAACGAAGTGGAAAATCAACACAGTTAGTGAACTCACTGCAATTAAGTTAATACACAAGCGTCCGGATGTTTTCAGCGGAAGTCTTTTTTTTTTTTTTTTTTTTTAACTTTATTTTTTGTAGTGATTTTTTTTTTTTTTTTTTTTTTTTAACTTTATACTGCTGTGAGGTGAAAAGAACTTGGTGTTTGTGGAGAAAATGGAGATGAGCAGTAGCTTGTCACGCATCAAAACGTTTTGGTTCTAAAGTTAGGCTAGCAGTTTGTGACAGAAGGTTGGAAGGGAGGAATGATGTTTTAAAAACCTCAAAGCTTGAAATTGGAAAGCTGAAATTAGAAGGCGGTGGGAACTGGAGTGCTTGGCCAGCTAGCCTTCGTGCGGTGTACGGTGTGCGATGTGCGCGTTGGCCGGGGAAGCTGTCTTCGGGCAGCCTATCGGGGCTGCGCCTGCCTTCGAGCTCTTCCCATCGCGCAAGTCCATCGTGCCGTCAGAGAAAGACTCATTTTGAAGGTTCCTGAAAGGCTCCCGCCAATGGAAGTAACTAGATTGTAACACTCTGAATGCACATTCTTGCACTTCCAGCATTTGACTCCTGTCCCGGCACCTGGAGGGCACTGAGTCACTAAGCCAGTGCTCCCCCGAGTGCATGCTTGACCCCTGAACCTTAGGAAGGATGTGATGCATAGAAACTCGTCTAATCTGTAGGTGGAAACCACCTGTAACTCTGGAAGGCACATCTTTGATTTAGTACATCTGAGAGTCTTTGAAAACACGGGCTTCTGTATCAGTATCGCGGTGGCAAGGAAATTCTTACCTTATTTCGTCATGTATTGGGAACAATATTGCTGTTACTACCTCCCTCTAGAAAAAGGCCCGCTGCCCAGATGCTCATTTTATATAATAATGCCTTTGCCTAGAATTTATAGTAGTAATTTAAAACACTTTATATATAAAATTGTGGTCTCAGCTTTTTTGAGCACTTCACATTTTTAACTTTCTTTTTATTTTTGTATATATTTGAGTGTCTCAGTTTTTTAGCTAAAGGGAAATATGCTGAAGTTTAAGGATATAAAAATCCTTAAAATGTTCACAAAAAAGATTTAAAAAAATGGAATGTTTAAAATGAGTTATGTTGGAAGTACTGAATATGAAATGTTGCGGTTGTGATACTTACATGCAAATTTTCAGAGTAGATTTAGACTGCAGAGCTCTTTCATGAAATGCTTATTTTAAAAGGTCTGGAAAAGAATATATATTTTACTATTTGGAAAAGAACCAGTAAATTTCTAGGAGCTAGAAGCATTTGAGACTTTATTATCATAATCATCCTTTAATATTTAAGAGATAATTATTTCCTAGTTCTTGTTGTGTTTTTAATATAGTAGCTCATTTAATCATTGAATTAGCCATGTAATAGAGGCAATATTATAGTCTCAAATTTTCAGATTAGAAGATGCTCACAGAAAATAACCTCAGCTAGTGAGTGCCCATTGAAAACCCAGGTTGCCCAGGTTTGGCTTGCCTTGCCACTATACCATATTGCTGGTTTATATTCTTTTGCAGGATTGCTTTCATTTTAATATGTAGCAAGAGGACCATGGTATTTAGTAAAATTGGATTAGAGTTAAAAGCAATATTACATTTTTAAAAAGTATCCTTTTTAGACCTTAAGCCTTGGCTAATATGTAAATAAATCAATTTCCTAACATCTGATACTTTTACTGAGTGAAATGGTTGAATTTATAACCTTGATATTCTTGCCACATAATGGATTGCAGTTAAAATCTGTAAGCTTCTTAAAAGATCACCTACCTCATCAACCCTCTTCTTGGTTTGTGTGTTGCTGTATTACAGATTGATGAGCCTTATTAGGGTGTACTTTTGCTAAATTATAGCAATATAAGAAGAAAAGTGAATAGTTAGAATTGGTAACCTGTTTTCAGTCTTGTATGTCCCCTTTTCACAGGGACATAAATGCCTAAAGTAGTCAAAATAGTCCTATAAACCGGCGCCAAATTGAATTGAGAAATGTAAATGGTCCATACATTTTTCCCCCCAGCTTGGGTAGGAGAGTTTGCTTTAATCTTAGAGTGATGCAGCAATTTTATATGTTTATGAAGAGCAGAAAGCATTTTAACCTCAGTTGGTGAGAAAGCAAAAGCAGATTTACATTTACAGGTTAATTGAAAATGCTCTTATTTTGATTGGATTGAAGATCAGTTTTAAATTTTATTCCAGGGCTTGCTCATGCCAAACTCTTGGTCCCTTTTAATTGTAATATGAAGTTAATACTTGTATGACTTGTTCTTAGACAGTCTTTCAGTTATTGAGACTTATTGTTCTTTTATTCTTGCTCTGTTATTTTTGAATCTTTTAAATGTGTAGGATGATAATGAAGATAATTCAAATGATGGGACCCAGCCATCCAAAAGGAGGCGAATGGGCTCAGGAGATAGTTCTAGGAGTTGTGAAACTTCAAGTCAAGATCTCGGGTACTGTCATTTTACTGGTTATTAATATTTTTTGTGATGTTTCTCTTTGTGATAACATCCTCTTCCCTTTCCCCCAGCTCTGGCAAAGACAATTATTAAAAATTGTAGAATATTTTCTGTTTTATAATGTGCCACCAAAATTGGTCTTGCTACTGAGTGTAATTAAAAAACAATTTTATGATAGTAAAACATAATATGTAAAATTAATCATTTTAACAATTTTTAAGTGTGCAATTCATTGGCATCAGTTAACATTTGCAGTGTTGTGCAGCCATTATCACCATCCATTTCCAAAATTTTTTCACTACTCTGTCTATACTTTAAAACCATTAAGCAATAACTTCACTTTTGCCCTTTACCCAGGCCCTTGCAACCGTCATTCTACTTTCTATTTCAATAAATATGACTACTTAGTTACTTCTTATAAGTGGAACCATAAAATATTTGTCCTTTTGTGGCTGGCTTATTTCTCTTAGAACTTTTAATATCTTCAAAGTTCATCCTTGTAGCATATGTCAGAATTTTGTTCTGGTTTTTTTTTTTTTTTTTTTAGACGGAGTTTCGCTCTTGTTACCCAGGCTGGAGTGTAATGGGGCGATCTCGGCTCACCGCAACCTCCGCCTCCTGGGTTCAGGCAGTTCTCCTGCCTCAGCCTCCTGAATAGCTGGGATTACAGGCACACACCACCATGCCCAGCTAATTTTTTGTATTTTTAGTAGAGACGGGGTTTCACCATGCTGACCAGGATGGTCTCGATCTCTTGACCTCGTGATCCACCCGCCTCGGCCTCCCAAAGTGCTGGGATTACAGGCTTGAGCCACCGCGCCCGGCCTGTTCTGTTTTTAAGACTGAATAATATTCCATTTTATGTATATACTGCATTTTGTTTATCCATTTGGATGTTGATGGGCATTTGGGTTTCCACCTTCTGGCTAAGGTGAATAATGCTACAGTGAGCATTGGTCAGAGTTTGTGTTTTCAGTTTTTTTGGGGATATGTATGTAGGAGTGGAGTAGCTGGATTACATGGTAATCCTATGTTTAACTTTTTGAGAAACTGCCAAACTGTTTTCCATAGGGGTTGCACCAATTTTCATTCCTCCCAGCAATTCACAAAGTTTCTAGTTTCTTCATGTTTCTCACCAATTTGTTTTTCACTTTTTAAAATAATAGCTATTGTAAAAGGTGTGGAGGGATATTTTATTGTGATTTTGATTTGCATTTCCATAATGCGTAGTATGTTGAACATCTTTTCGTCTGCTTCTTGGCCATTGTATATCTTCTTTGGAGACATGTCTATTCAAGTTCTTTGTCCATTTTTCATTTGGGTTTTTTGTTGTTGTTGTTCAGTGTTGTTTTATATATTAATACTTCATCAAAAATATAATTTACACATATTTTCTTTATTCTATGGGTTCATTCACCCTCTTGATAGTGTCCCTGTATAAAATTTTTAATTTTGATGAAGCCCAAATTTTTCATCTGTTTTTTCTTTTGTCGCTTGTGCTTTTGGTGTCATATCTAAGAATCCATTGCCAAATCCAAGTTTGTGAAGATTTCTATGTTTTCTTCTAAGAGTTTTCTAGTTAGCTATTATATTTAGGTTGTTGATCCATTTTGAGTTGTGATATGAGGTAAAAGGTCCAATTTTATACTTTTGCATGTGGATACCCAGTTTCCCAGCACCATTTTTGAGAATACTGTTCTTTTGGAAGGCTGCTTTTTAAACAGATAGATGCATAACATATTGTCACTTTCCCGTGTCTAATTTAGAGGTTGAATTGGCCCAGATCCTGAAATCTGTACTCTGTTATTCAGGATAGAGATCGACTGTGATACCCTGGCACCTTTAAACTAGGTCTATCCTTTGCTTCTGGGTTTGTGGAGTATCTGAGAACAAATACTTATGTTTATGGCATGATGCATTGAGAAATAGGTCTTTAAGAGTTCTGTTTTCTTAGCTATTTATGACTCACTGAATAGTAGACAAGAGACAGAAGTAGTTGATTATTCCTTGGGTAGATGAAATACTGACTATGCATTTTTAACCCAAGAGAAAGAATTCAGAGCTGATACCATCACCTTGCTTTGCCCTCATAGGTCCCTTAAACTAAAAATGCCTTTGTTCTTAGCAGTTTAGAGTCTTGGTTCTTCCCAATATATAAAAAAATGTTATCTTCATTGTACCGTTTTGACTTGGTAGACCAGATAATTATTTCTCTTCCTTGTAGCTGTTTTGTAATTTTCTTTGATATACAGGAAGTCAAGTCATAGCAGACAAATAATTTAAATACTTAAAATAGTTTTCAAAATATCCTCAATAAAAGTGATTAAAAGTTAATGAAAGCCAAATTTAATACATAATATGTATTTCTGCACTTAGCTTTAGTTACTATCCAGCAGAAAATTTGATAGAGTACAAATGGCCACCTGATGAAACAGGAGAATACTATATGCTTCAAGAACAAGTCAGTGAATATTTGGGTGTGACCTCCTTTAAAAGGAAATATCCAGGTACTAGTTTATATAATAGATTAATTTATAATTAATAGTAATTCTTTATGATACACTGTCAACTTCTGAATTTTTCTATAGATTATAATATATTTTATATTCTTGTGCTTGCTGTTTTTCTTTTCTTTTTCTTTCTTTTTTTAAAAAAAAAAAAGACTTAAGGATCTCATTTTGTCGCCCAGATTAGAGTGCAATGGTGCAATCATAGCTCACTGCAGCCTTGCCCTCCTGGGCTAGCTGTCCCCATGCCTCAGCCACGCCTGGCAAATTTTGTTAATTTTTATTTTTTTAGAGATGAAGTCTTGCTATGTTGCCCAGTGTGATCTCAAACTCGTGGCTTCAAGCTATCCTCCTGCCTCAGCCTCCTGAATTGCTAGGATTACAGGTGTGAGCCACCATGCCTGGCTGTTTTAAATTTATTATTATTCAGCATCTCTCTTCATTATTGATATATTCTATGTCTCATAAACTATTTTAAAAGCAAAATGGGAAAGGTGAATTTCCTGGGGAAAATTTTAGAAAAAAATCATTTTATAGACAAGTTTTGGATTTTTACCATTGTCCCTTGATCTAAGGAATAGAATTAGCTATATGAACCATATCTGAATTTGAGAAAGGCTATTCCTCATTAGTCTAGTTATTTATATTACCTTATTGCTTTGGATTATTCTATTTTCGATTTTATTCGAACTTTTGTATCTTACTGAGTATATTTCTTGAATTTATAGTATTTTTCTGTAGTCCCTTTAATATTTGGAAAATGTAATATGAATACTTTTAAAAATCAAGTTTTTTAAGCTTTTAAAAGTTTTACAAATGCGTAATGTTTTGCTGTTTTTAATAGTCTTTTGATTTTTTTTTTTTTTTTTGGAGATTTAGAGCGACGAGATTTGTCTCACAAGGAGAAACTCTACCTGAGAGAGCTAAATGTCATTACTGAAACTCAGTGCACTCTAGGTAAGAATAGCTTGTAATGTGAATTTTTCAAGCTGAACATTTACAAGATGATATTGCATAAGTATCTTCTTTCCTAAAATATTTTACAAAGTTAATAAAAAATTTAAATGCTACATTGTTTACTTCATTTTTGATTATTGTTAAAATGCAAAGGAGAATGAAGCTTGAATACATATATAGTTCCTGACTCATGATGGTTCAACTTCATGATGGTGTGAAAGCAGTGCATATTCAGTAGAAACCATACTTTGAGTGTCCATACAACCATTCATTTGACTTTCTGTATAATATTTAACAAATCGCATGACATACTCAACACTTGATATTAAAATAGGCTTTGTGTTAAATGATTTTGCCCAGCTGTAGGCTAATGTAAGTTTTCTGAGCATGTTTAAGATAGACTAGGGTAAGCTAAGGTGTTGGGTAGGTTAGGTGTATTAAATGCTTTTTGTTTTCAGAATAGTTTCAACTTAGGGTGGGTTTATTGGATGTAACCCCACTGCACGTTAGGATCACCTGTATTCTGAAACAGTATAATTGTCTAATAATTTTTACAGAGTTTTCAGAATGTATTTTCTGTGCAAAGCTTGTACAATTTTATTTTTAAAGGTATTGGTTCTTTGCTGAGTGTAGTGGTATGTGCGTGTAGTCCCAGCTACTTGGGAGGCTGAGGGAGGAGGATCACTGGAACATAGGAGTTTGGGGCTGTAGTGTGCTGTGATCATATCTCTGAATAGCCACTGCACTCCATCCTGGGCAATATGGTGAGACCACATCTCTAAAATGCAAAATGGCAAATTTTACTCAATTTTCAGTTCTGTATAATTATGTCCATGTTTTATTTGTAGTTTTACTTTCACAAACATTTTAATGCAGCATGGCTACTTTTTAATATAAATTCATGGGAATGCATTTCAGCAGTTGGTGAAATCCGATACTGTGAGTTTTGAATTGTCTACATGATGAGTGTGTGTGTGTGCTGATGTTTTCGGTGAAGTTTTAAGGAATTTGAAGACTAGGAAGTATAATAACGTTGAATTTTTTTTTTAACTCATACAATATTTTGTAGTACTTGTTAGTAGTTAGTGTATTTCATTATTTAACAATTGTTTCTAACTGAAGGGATATATGTTTAAAGCACATAGAATCTTAAAAATAAACTTGTTTGGTTGAAAAATGGATATATTTGCCTTTTGCAAGATAATCTTTTAATTGCTTGGATTTATATTATGAATATTAAGTTTAGTTATTTTCAAATGTACCAAGATATTTTGCTTTGGCCATTGGAAAACCCATTAAAATGTGGAGCGGTTTGAAGAAGTAAATTTTGAAGAGTGCTTTTGTTCACTTATTTTTAAAAGGGCTTATTTTTTTGTTTTTTGGTCTAAAATAGGTTTAACAGCATTGCGCAGTGATGAGGTGATTGATTTAATGATAAAAGAATATCCAGCCAAGCATGCTGAATATTCTGTTATTCTACAAGAAAAAGAACGTCAACGAATTACAGACCATTATAAAGAGTATTCTGTAAGTAACTGAGGCGACTAGTATTTTTTATTTGGGTTGGGGAAAATGACATTTTATAAAGTTACATGTGACTTCCAACTGTTTTTTTTTTTTCTTTTCCCAGCAAATGCAACAACAGAATACTCAGAAAGTTGAAGCTAGTAAAGTGCCTGAATATATTAAGAAAGCTGCCAAAAAAGCAGCTGAATTTAACAGCAACTTAAACCGGGAACGCATGGAAGAAAGAAGAGCTTATTTTGACTTGCAGACACATGTAGGATAACTTAAATTTAGTAGTCTCCGAACTTAGTTTCTTACTTGTTATTGCAGAGTGCCCATTACCCCCTTGATCATTATTTTTTGGACCACCTATGTGTTCTTTTTTTTTTTTTTGAGACAGAGTCTCGCTCTGTAGCACAGGCTGGAGTGCAGTGGCATGATCTTGGCTCACTGCAACCTTTGCCTCCTGGGTTCAAGGGATTCTCCTGCTTTAGCCTCCCCAGTAGCTGGGATTACAGGCACCTGCCTCCACACCCAGCTAATTTATCATATTTTTACTAGAGACAGGGTTTACCACTGTTGTCCAGGCTGGCACCTATGTGTTCTTTTCCTCCTCAGAACTTGAGATATTATTTTTAATGATGTGCTTAATAATCAATTTACGTTTTTTGTGAGATGTCTTTTGCTTTATAGTTGATATTCTACTAAATGAAACTAATAATAGTGACATGTCATACTTGCTATGTGTCCCAAGAGTTTTTAAAATAGATTTGCATGTTAATTCTCAAAGTAATCATGTGAGGTTGAAAGTAGGATTACTTCCACTTAATAGATAAAGAAACTGAGCTAGAGAGGTTGTATAAGCTACCCAGATCACTCTGCTGTTAAAGTAGTGAGCCAGAGATCCACTGCCATTCCTCGGCAGTTATTCTCATGGAAAGTAGGCCTCTAAAACGATAATATATAGAAAGAACTGAAAGCACCAACTGTGCTCTTAGGTAATAGCTCCCAAAATTTTAGCTTTTTTGAGGGGAAATGGGCATGCAGTGGAGAGCATCTGGGGACTCTTTTCCTACAGCCTGAGTTTTAGCATGGAATCAATTTTGTGTTTCTCTTTATGTTAACATAGGTTATCCAGGTGCCTCAGGGGAAGTACAAAGTTTTGCCAACAGAGCGAACAAAGGTCAGTTCTTACCCAGTGGCTCTCATCCCCGGACAGTTCCAGGAATATTATAAGAGGTATTAAATTTTAGTTACAGTTGGTATCGGCTCTTGGTGAGGGGTTTCAGAGCCTTGTGTACTTGCCTCCTAACAATTTTGAGGTCTGTAGATGTCACCATAAGAGATATCGCCATATCGCATAGGATTTGTGTTGCTGTTCTTTATCTTCTCTGGTTCTGTGGTAAACACCAACCTATAGGCAGAATTTGAACATATGCTGATGAAGTCTGGATGCCCCTGTCTTTGCCCATTCTCTTTGAATTTGTCATAGATAGATGCTGGGGGTTCTGTAGCACCTCAGTGCTCAGAGTATGTTCCGTGGTCCAGAGCACTATTATTTCTCAGAAGCTAGTTGGAAATGCAGAATCTCAGGCCCAACCCTAGATCTATGACTCAGTCTGCATTTTAACAGATGTCTGCATGATTCATGTGCAGGTTAGAGTTTGAGAAACACTGACTTGTTGCAGACAAGAAAAGAGAGGGGCAGGGACAGGCACATTGCTGACCTGGCCTGGCTGCTGCTGTCAATCTGGACCCTAAATACTACTTACCTCCTATTCCGAAACTGAATGTTACTGAAAAAAACAGGGCTAATGGATTCATTTTGTTTTAAAGTCTCAGCTTTTATTTCAACCTTAAACCTTACTCTGGAACCATATGTTCTTCGGAATAGACTATATTTTTAGAGAATAGAATTTAAAGTACAGTGTTATAACTTGCCATTTGAAAGTCAAATCTTGAGCAGAAATTTTAAAAAATTCAAATTTGAGTCATAAGCAGAAATATTTAAAAAGTTTTGCTTCTTTTTTTTTTTTTTTTTTTTTGAGATAGAGTTTACCTAGGCTGGAGTGCAGTGGCTTAATACCGGCTCACTGTAACCTTTGCCTCCAAGTGATTCTCCTGCTTCAGCCTCCTGAGTAGTTGGGATTACCATGCCTGGCTAATTTTTTGTATTTTTAGTAGAGATGGGCTTTCACCATGTTGGTCAGCCTGGTCTCAAACTCCTGACCTCAGGTGATCTGCCCACCTAGGTCTCCCAAAATGCTGAGATGACAGGTGTGATCCACTGCACCTGGCCTTTAATTTTTAAAAATTTTATTTTGGTGTCAGGAAATTATTAAAAGTCATATGCAAGTATGCCAACCCCTTTGCTTTTTGGTGTGTTGTCTTAGTTGGGGAAGTCCTGATCCATGGTCACTTCCTGAATAAGGGCTACAGTGGGTAAGAATGAATAAGGGCTACAGTGGGTAAGAATGGAGGTGGCACTAAGTGTTGCTGTCTGGGAAGAGATTGCCAATCTAGCCTCAGACAAAATAGATGATTACATTCATTAGAATACATGCTTCCCAAATTTGTTTATAATAATTTGTTACTAAAAATTTTGCTTTCTATATTAAGTAATATTATATACCATGCACTGGTGTGATATATATGTAGTAGGGTGTCTGTCCATTCTGTTTGGGTTTGTCACAGACAGTTGCTGGGGTTCTGTAGCACCTCACTGTGCAGACTTTGTTTCGTGATCCAGAGCACTATTGTCACTCACAAGCTTGTTGGAAATGCATATACTGTATATCAATTGTATGAAGTAGATGCCATTATTAGGCTTGTTTTACAAGCGGAGTGACAGCTCAGAAGTGGCAAAGACCTGGGACAGTGGTGGAAGTGGATATGATCTGGTAGCCAGACTTGGGGCTACTGACATTTTATTTACTTTTCTTCTTTTTTGGGGTTGAGGGCAAAGAGGAGAGACACATTATCTCTTAGTAAGAATTAAAATCAAATGCATATTTTTATAAGTCTAATGAAAAGACATTCAGGCTTCTTATTAATTACCCCTACTTGATGACAAAAATGAAAAATTAATACTCTATTTTTCAAAAGTCTTTGGGGTTACTCGAGAAGTTTAAGGCTATCTTCATAGCTCAAAGATGAGTCTATTCATATTTAATAATAAAGAGTAACTGAAAATAAACTCTCTGAACTTCAGGTACTCACCAGATGAGTTGCGGTATCTGCCATTAAACACAGCCCTGTATGAGCCCCCTCTGGATCCTGAGCTCCCTGCTCTAGACAGTGACGGTGATTCAGATGACGGTGAAGATGGTCAAGGTGATGAGAAGCAGAAAAATAAAGGCACTTCGGTGAGAACATTTCTGTCTAGTAGGAAGCATTTCCTTTCTCTTTGAATTTTTGCTAATTGCTTTCCTAGAATGTTAAATTGAACTACTTGTGTCATCATTCTCTTTTTGAAAAAGGACAGTTACATATAATTTCCAGAAAGTATTCATCAAGAAAAGTTATTTATAGTGTGTTTTGATAAAAACAAGCAGTGCATGGCCTTTGGTAAGCTTTATACTTAAAATCACTCCTTTGTAGTTACCATGAGCAGGTTAGGCAAGGATATGGAAAATTAGCTTACAATTGTTTATTCAGCTTTCTGTCTCTTTAACTTAAAATATTGAACAAAACAGACTTTGATCTCTTGACACAGAAATGTAGTTTTTTCTTAGTTTAGGGGAGTGCATTAACTTATGTTTCTTTTGCTTAATCTTAGGCTTCCTATGGGAAAATATTATGTTAGTAATATATTGTGCAATTTGTTGGGTTTTGCTGTATGCCTTTTTTTTGGTAGCAAATGCAGTTGCAAGACAGTGGGAAGCTGGTGTATTCTGTGGACCTAAAGGAGAACAAAATTTCAATGATGATCTAGGGTTTTGATCCCAGTCATGCCACAGGGCTTTGAATTTCTCTAGTACTGTGTTTTAAGTAACTGGCTATTTTAAACTTTTCATTGTAGCCAACCTAAATGTGAGATTGAAGGGACATTGTATTTCCTTGTCACCAACAGCTTCTAAAACATCTTTAATAATATATATTATGCAGAATAAGATGCTGTTCAAGTATCAAAGTGGTGATACAAATTTCCTCTTGTCATGTTGCTAAAAAGGGAGCTATGGCATACTAAGGGTGATGAAGCTGACTTCCTTTCATACCACTAGGAAAAGTGTAAACTAATCCAACATTATGGGAAAGCATTTGGACAGTCTTACCAATTTAAGTTCCACAGAATTTGACCTAGCAAATCCACTAATAGAATTTATCCTTAGGACTTAGATGCTGAAAAAATTTAATTAGAAAAAAAGTTCTGTTTGAGTGTTTACAGTAATTTTTATGCTGGAAATTATAAATAAATTTTAATGCCCGCAGTGGGTAATATTATATTGTTTTTATAGTATAGAAATGCAGTTCAAAGACTATTAATGATTGTGAGAAAATGCCCATAATGGTTTTAAAAAAATACCAAAATACACACATGCATACACACACATTGTAATCCAGTTTTGTGTTTTAAAAAATGAGGGCACAGTGAGGTAGGGGGTATGTGTGAGTCTTGGTGTCTTTATTTATATAAAGGACACCCAGAAAAAAGATAAAGTAGATAAATTCATGTATTTAGTCAGTGTATGTTTATCAGGGAGGTTCTGGATAACTTTAATTTTTTCATTTATAATTTTCATAATTCATATGAAAGTTCTAATTAGAAAATTTTAAATTATAAAATGAAGGATTAAATGGTCAGATACTGTGGTCTTAAACCTTGAATATGTAAAATATTTCAGATCCTGTTGTAGGTAGTTGAGGGATTGGCTCTGCATAGTTTAGCATTATGGAAACACAAATGTGAGCTTAGAAGGACTTTTTTTTTTTTTTTTTTAACTATAGCCCTTTATTTTTCCTGAAGTACCTTCTTATGATTTTTAGTACTCAATGAAAATACCCACACTTATTTTTAACAATGTGTTTTTGTATGAAACAAATATGCTTCCTTGTGACATGGAAAATAATGTTGAAGCTGTGTGGTGTAATAATAGCTAAAGCAGATAATTCCATTTTTTGTGACGTACATCAGAAAACAAAATGATGAAGGCACTGATATATGTGAAATCAGTTTTATATGATATTATAGTTAGAAGGATGGATGATTTTTAACATGGCTTACTTTAGTTTCCACTGGAAAAAGCTTTCTCTTATTTAGAATGATTTTTTTAATTTTTAAATTGATAAAGGCTTAAAGCTTTTTTTTTTGAGTATTTTCCATAGTTTTCAAAATTCAGACTCAAATTTGTCTTAATTCCAAAGAATCTTTGTTTTTGCCTTTTAAACTCCAGGACAGCTCCTCTGGCAATGTATCTGAAGGGGAAAGCCCTCCTGACAGCCAGGAGGACTCTTTCCAGGGAAGACAGAAATCAAAAGACAAAGCTGCCACTCCAAGAAAAGATGGTCCCAAACGTTCTGTACTGTCCAAGTCAGTTCCTGGGTACAAGGTAGAAGAAAAAAGCCCCTGACTCAGCCTCTTTACTGACCAGCCTCTCTCCCTGAAATACTTTAACTTGACTTTCACGATTGTGGAGCTTCTGCCTGCTGTACTTCACTAGCTGTTCTTCTATGGTGTGCCCTCTGTCCACTGCTTTCTTTTTTTGCTTTATTTCCTTGGTGGCTTTTCTGTCACTTTTGGCTATGGTTTAGCGTCCGTTTTCTGTATATGTACAATTTATAAGTCTTTTTTTTTTTTTTTAAATAAGTATGGGTTTTTAAAACATTATTTCATAGGCAGAAGTTTATACTTTTATTTCCTTGGAGTAAAGATCATAATTATTTGGCATTTTAAGTGCCCCAGCATTTAGTGTAGCTAAACCTGCTGAGCTATGAAGTATGAGTGGATATACTGTTAGATGAAGTTGCATTTTTGTAGTGCCTTTCATTAAGAAAGATCTGGGTTTAATCTAAGGGTTATTTGATCCATCTGCTAAATTTAGCTAACTCTGGGATAGAAAATAATAAAACCTGTTATTTACATTGTAGTGATTTTTAGCATAACCTTGGTAAAGAGCCTGTATGATTCCATGACAAGAATTAAAACATACCTGTTAACTTGTTGATCTGATTATCCTCAGAGTAAAGTAGTAGGTTGTCAGCAGCTGTTGTTATTATTTTGAACTTTTCCTCCCTCTTTCTGCCCCTCTCTTTTCTTTTGACGAAAAGTGAGGTGAGAGGTGAGTAGGCTTATTTTGCATATAGGGATTTAAGAATATCGTAAAAGAAAGAATTAGATATACAGTTTTATGTTTGGGATGGTGGTAGTAAAATATATTACCTTTTGATTCTTTTGGTCTGAAATGTTTTAGAACATGCTTTTTATTGCACTTATGAAGGTGTATTGAAGGAAAATTTTAGAGTAAGGCAATGAGAAAGTTTTGCCAAATGAAATTGTTAAACACCTTGTATGTCAGAACTGTGATTATGGTAAGTAATCCACAAGAACAGGCTGAATGAAGTAAGTCAGCTTTCCCTCTAACTAACTAGAACACATTCTAACATGTTGTTCATTCTCCTTTCTTCAAGTAAAAGTGACCTATTAAATTAATGTATTTCATATTTTATTAGAAAATTCTTTCATGTAATTAACTTAATTTTTTTTTTTTTTTAAGCCTATGGCAAGCAAATTTTAAGCTTTATTCAGCAAGGGTTGGCTTCCAAGGGTGTCTGCAATAGGCTGCAGCGATGTGATTGTTGTACTTGTTTTTACATATATAGCTTATCTACTTTCTTTAAATATATAAGTTAATGCTTAATAACTGAAAGCAAGTGAGCTCCAAAGATGAAATTTCAGAAACAGCCTCCATGAATGAGTGTGTTCTATTGGTCTGCTAAGAGCTTTAAATGGAAGTGGCCACTAAAAGCACACCATCCTGTTAACTCTTGAGTGCTAAGTAGATCTTTCAAACAGTAAGCTTGATTGATCATGGGTTGAAAAGAGAGAATATTGAAATAGTTGTTTTAATACAGGCTGGAAATGAAGAACTATTCAACACTATCATTGATTTAGTATACAAGAAATCATATAGATTAACTGAACTGAATAGTACTCAAGTCGGATATGCAAAATTTATATTTTACATAATCTGTGCACATTTTTAATACCTAAAAATGTTTCAGGTTGATTTCAAAGATGGAAACAACCAGTATCTAGTCATCATACATTAATGTGAACATGCTTATTAAAAGTTAACCTCTTTATGAAAAGTATTAATAAGCCAGATGTGCCTAAATATTAGGGTACTTCAAGCTAAAGGTCATATTTTATATATGTAAAATATGAGATTCAAGAAAAACAATAATGTATCTGATGTTTTGCTTAATAAGATTCACTAGTGCTTGCCCTTAATTTGTAGGACAGTATTGTTTAGGTTACATTAACCTGAAATTTAAAGCATAATTGTTAGGATTCAGGCCTATAAGTATATAATTAAAATCTATATTATTGCTACCATGAAAGTCTTATCTTTGGCTGTTTTTCAAGTAGAAAAGTAAGTGTACTGTGAGCCTTTTGAGATGCTGAGAGCTGTTAGGATGCGTATTTTAATTTTCTTGTCAGTAGTGAAACTCTGATGATGTTGCAGTTATTTGAAGTAGAACTGATCGTCTTAACCAGACACACAAAGGGCTGTGTTCCATTGGCCTTCGGGAGAGTGCTGCACATTGTTCCCTTAACCCCTTCTTCAACTGTGCAATTTATTGCAACTGGCTTCTCTAAGCCACGGTTGTTATCTTCTGTGTAAAGCCCTGGATGGCAGCACTGTAGCTTCTTAGCGAGGGCAGATACTTTGTATATTGAGCTGCAGCATTCATCATAGAAAATGCTACAAACCTTCTCTCTTCCCCTTCTCTCATCTTTTCCTCTTTTCACTCAGATGAAGACTGTTGGGTAAGAAAAACTAAGTGATTTGACAAAGCATTATGATTTAAACTTAGAAATAAACCTAGAATTTTTTGGTGTCCCTTTTATCATAGGTGTTTAATGTGTATTTTAATGATTGTAGAACTTGAATTGCTCTAGAATGTGAATGACTACCCTTGTGTTTTATTCCTTTTGGGTTTTGTTTTGTAAAGAATCTCCTATGAGGAGTTCTGTTTTTAGAATTTAATATTGTTTGGTTATTTCCCTGACTTTAGTGGAAGATATTAGAGTACTTAAATATGCCAGTATCTAACTTAAACTGAGTATTAAATAAGTATATCTTTTACATTTAGTATAGGTACCATAACCAAAAAAGATTTCTTAGTTTTGATGAAGAGATACCATTCTGCTGTATATTATGGCAGGTACAGATATTATCATAACTGAACCAGAATTTGGATTATAGAAGTGCACTTCCTAGCTGTTTATTATTTAGGTATAGGAACACACAATGAGAACCTTATGCTTAGAATGTAGCAGTAACAACAGAGGGTAACTACACTGCAAGACTTAAATGGTTTAAGCATGTGACACTATCCTTTTGTTGGGGGGAGCAGGGTATAAAAATATACATACAGGAGATTAGTTTAATAGTAAAGTTTTATATGTATGTTTAACTTCCATGATATTTATTATTTTGTAGAGACATTTGTGATTGTTTAGAGTTCTTGTTTTTATTATATTTATGTATAAGGTTGACTTTTTTTTAAATAAATAAGCCAAAAATTCTTTTTGAATGCCTCTGTCATCTTTTGCAAAGAAAGATAATCTAAAAAGTACAAAACTTAAAAGAATTAAGAACAAATTGTTTAGGCCTAGCAGGTAATGAAGGTGGCAGTGAGACATTTCAAAGCTGGAATATATACAAAGTTTGAGTTTTGTTTAGATTCTTTGGTTCAGTAAATTAGGAAAGGGGATGCATTTGGCAGAGTGGGAATAAAACAGCAATGAAACAATTCTATTTAAAATATTTATTTTCCCAGTTCGTGCGTGTGAGTGTGTGTGTGTGTGTATGTGTGTGTATGTGTATGTATGTGTATGCCCGCCCCTTTCCCCCATTTTATTCTTGGCCCATGTTTGCTCTTCCTTTTTTACCATTGTTATTTACTTACTCCAATAGCATGAGTGAACGTCATTTGTAACAGTCAAGGCTGTGACGTTCGGATGTCCTCCCTTCCCTGGTAATTTTAAGTGCAGTGAACCCTTTTTCCTTTGTCATTTCCATGTGTTGCCAAATATGTCGAAAACCCACACACCTTCACTGGACCATGCGTGTTTTTAATCTGAAAGATGAGTAGTACTCAGAATGTTTATGTATTTTTTAAGTGACTGCAATTTTTTTTTGCTTGTCTGAAAACTTACTTTTCCCTTTTATAATTTTACATTTTATAGTGAATCCTTTTAAGTATAGATTCTTTTATTAGACATACAAAGAGAATCACACAACTGAGTTTTCCACAAACATTTATATACATGGCAATGTATGCACGAGACATCTTTCAATTAAAAATGTTTAAAGTGATTTTTAAAAATATACCGTGATACCAATGAGGATAAACTGATTTTTTAACTTAGATTTTATAGATCCAGTTTTACAGCTTTGGAAAATATCAGTTTTTAAACAATACATAAGCTAGCTATTTAAAATGGTTTTCTCTTTAGAGTTAAGTCTTAAATTTATTGGTAATTGGATTTTCTTGTCCAATTAATAGTGACATTTTACATTATATTTAAGTCTATCCTTCTGTTCCTTAAACAGATCTTACTGTGCATGTAGGGAGTGTAGAATGCTACATTTAATATAAGAGATCATGCTGTTTACAAAATTTGACAATGAAATGAATGCTTTCTTCAGTCTGCAATCTTACATGGCAGACAGACTCCTGTCAAGCTTTGTCTTTCAAAATGGTCCTCATTAGCAAGTTACCAAAAGTAAAAATAGGGCAATAAAGTAACAGAATTCCTTTTGAACCCTTAGTAAGCTCTTCTGGCATGAATTTATAGCCCTCTTCTACCCTTCCAGCCAAAGGTCATTCCAAATGCTATATGTGGAATTTGTCTGAAGGGTAAGGAGTCCAACAAGAAAGGAAAGGCTGAATCACTTATACACTGCTCCCAATGTGAGAATAGTGGTAAGTATTTAAATATCTTTTTAAAATCTTAACCACCATGTTTGTTGGTTCAAAAACCGGAATTTATAGTTTCAGGTAGATTTCAACCAGAATCATCAAATAAGCAGGGTACTTTGTGAAGCATAGATGCAGTTCATGTGTTTTCTTCTACATTGTATTTTCATTTCTCTTTGGTGATTTAACATTATAGCCATTCCCTGGAAGTCCTAAAGCAAACTAGTATTTTATATGCCATATTAAGTTAAAAACTCTTATGTGAGATACTACTAATACTGGTTTTGATTTAGGCCATCCTTCTTGCCTGGATATGACAATGGAGCTTGTTTCTATGATTAAGACGTACCCATGGCAGTGTATGGAATGTAAAACATGCATTATATGCGGACAACCCCACCATGAAGAAGAAATGATGTTCTGTGATGTGTGTGACAGAGGTTATCATACTTTTTGTGTGGGCCTTGGTGCTATTCCATCAGGTAAAGATTTAAAAAAGAACAAACGTTATCTTTCGGTGATGAGACTCTCCTGGCACTCCTTTCTTAAGGATGCATAAAGCCTATCATGACATGAAGAGCTTGTGGACTTCTATGTGCAAACATGACCAAAGCTGTGATTTTACAGGTCATGTCCACCAGCTTTTCATCCTTAAGACAACCCAACTAAAGGATAAATGAGAGGCCAGAATGCCCAGGCTAAGTTTTGGAAGTATAGTTCTACATATAGAATGAGCTGGTGTTCTTTTACTGAAATACTAAAGTAACAGAGCATCATCTTGTTTCAAAGCCTTTATTTTTATGTTATCTATTTAGAAACTTAATAAAATGACTGCTACATCTTTACACATTTCTGTAGAAAGTCTATAATAGATTTATCTAAATCGCGGCAGCATTACAGTTCCAGGTAACTTTACAACAAAGAAAATTGAATAAATCACAGTAATTGGACTAAAATATTACACAGATAATTGTGTAATTTTAGAACTTACTTGCATAGTGTTAACACTGTATAATGCTCTATAAAATATATGCCTACAACGAAGTTTCCTGGGAATCATTAAGCAAGCAACGTATTTAAGATTCTGTAGTAATTCAGATCAAGTATGTACTACAATTTATGACTGTGCTCTTAGAAACTTGAAGTTTTAAAGTGCTGTCAGCATAGTACACCAGGACTTGAAAGAATGCTGAGACACACAGCTGCCAGTAAACAGGAGAGAAAAAGGCTTAAAAAAGCCAAATTCCGGAATGGGTTTTGTATCATTTGTATTGAACTTCTGAAGTATGAATGTTTAAATTTCAGGACAGATTTATTATTTTTTAAAGGTCCATATCACTGTATGGCATTGCATCTCTCCCATTCCCCTTGACTTGGAATGAATTTTGCACAGCATTGATAACATTGTTTACATTTTTCTCCTTAAATTAAGGAACTCAGTGTCCTTCTCACCACAAAATCCACAGAGGAATCTCATTAGTGATAGCTAAGGAATAAGAGTTAAAATAGGCTTAAAAACCAGTCCCATAAAAATTACTTTTCATTCTGTATTAACCAACAATTTTTTTCCTAGGTCGCTGGATTTGTGACTGTTGTCAGCGGGCCCCCCCAACACCCAAGAAAGTGGGCAGAAGGGGGAAAAACAGCAAAGAGGGATAAAATAGTTTTTGACCCTAATATTGTATATGCATCTAAGTGGAGTATTTGGTGCCAATTTATTTACAACATTTTCATTTTTATGCTAATAAAAGATTTTTTTTTTGGAAGTTAACTATGAGCTTAAAATCTGCATTTGATTTATTTCTGTTAAAAGCTACTCTTACGCTTGAAACTGATTCCAGGTAGAGAATTCATCTTCTGAAGTATTTTATAGTAACATTGGCTCACTCCAAAAATTCAGTGGAAATATTTAGGAACTTAAGTTACTTAACTTTCTCCATAGTCCAAAAAGTTATTTTTATGAAACTTCCTAATCTACATTGTTTCTGGCCTACCATAGGTAGCATTAACAAAGTTATTTAATAACTAAAGAATTTTCATTCATAGCCCCAAATTGACAAATAACCTAATAAGATCTGGTGCAGCTTGATTTAGAGTTGTCATTACTTGGACTGGTACAGGAACAAAGTTTGTAAATACCTGCCAGCCAGGAAATCCCTTTTGTATAGAAAAGTACCATCCGTACTTCGTGTACAGGCATGGGGGCTTTAGTCCAGGCTCAGGGAAGTGTACATAAATCATTTCCAACTTGATTTTAGTAACTGTAACACCTTGAACTTCGCTTACAATCTCCAGAGTAAAATTATAAAGTTACCAACCTTTTAATCTCATCCATATAACAGCATGAAAGGTTGCTCTATTTCGATTTATATAAACCTAAGTGACTGCAATTACCATTTTTAGTCAACCTAATGAAAACAGTGTCTAAACATTTTATGGTACACGGTCCTTTAATATAGGAATTTTGATCTTTAAAAGAAAACAAATACTGTGCTTGCTGCTTTTCCTATTTTGGGGCTAACTGAGGTAACAAAATGCGTATGGCTTTATTTTTCCATCCCTTGACTAAAAAAGATAACTACAACTTCAACCAAGTACAAGTAGCAAGGTTCACGGCAAACTGCAATCAGCTTCACAGATGGAGAGTTTTATACTCCAGGGCGTGGTTAAGAACTCAAAAGAGAATTTCAAGTACTAGTTTCAAAATGCTAATTAATATCGTCCAGAGAACAGATTCCTCCTCTTGCGAGGCATCTTCTGGCGCACGAGCGTGCTTCTGCCCGGCATCTGCGCCGTCGGCGGGGTAGGCGGCCTCGTCGAACGGGTGCTGCTCGACCGTGCCGTCATAGTACACCTTCATCTCGAACTCGCTCTCCAGGTGAGACGGGTGACCGTAGACGCCGATGCCCACTGGGCGCCGGAAGTGCGCGGGGATTGACACGGCATCCGGGCCGCAGGTGGCCGACTGCAGCTCGTAGTCGTCGAAGCTGGGGTGCAAGCTGCTGGCGGAGACGTAGAGGTCCGCGTCGCCCTTGAGGCTGCGCATCCTGAGGACGATCTTGCCCTCGTGGTTCAGCCGCAGGTAGCTGTAGTTCCCGGCGCCTATCTGGCCCTGGACGACGTGCAGGAGCACCCACTCATCGGGAACCTCCTCCTCGTCCGCGCAGCTCCCCGGGGATAGGATCTGCGAGGCCAGGAGCAGCAGCAGGGCCGTCGTCCAGGGTACGGCCCTCCCGCGGGGAGCGGCCATGGCTGGCGGCTCAGCTCTGGGGCCTGAGCGTGGGTCAGCGCTGGTGGGGACACAGGAGGCGCTTAACACCGGAGCCCGTCCCTGCCGTGCGCCTGTGAGGCCACGGCGCGTTCAGGCGCCTGGTCTGCCGCTGAGACTGTCTCTTCCCACCCGTTTGAGGCCCCGGGGAGAAGAGGAGGGGCTAGCCCCTCCCCCGCAGCGCGGCACCCACCGGACTCACCACCGTCCCCACAGGGCGCCGCTCCGCGACCATCCGGACCTGAGGCCCGAGCCTCGCCGGAGGAGGCGGAAGTTACGCTAGGCCCGGAAGTAAGCCGGCCGGAAGCGAGGCCTCGCCAGCTGTCGCGAGATAGTGAAGGGGGCGTGGGCGTGAGGAACCGCGGGCTAGTAACCATAGCAGCTGGCGAGTGGGGCGCGTCGCGTCGGGCCCTGTGCTTGCTTTTCTGTGAGCTGGCTGCGGCGGGTCCTCACCGAGCGGGCTGCTCCCTACGCGGAGTCGGGGAGGAACCCGAGCTGCTGTTCTGCGGCGTGTGCTGAGGCTACAGGGCTGGAGCCCGGGGGCTCCGCGAGCGTTCGCGGCTCCGCTGAGATCTCTCTGAAAGGAGGCGATTTGAGGTTTCCGCCGTGACCGTTCCCAACGGCGGGGACGCGCGCTCTGGTCCAGAACCGTTGCTCGCTGTCTCGTCACCCGAAGCCCAGTCCTGACGCCGTCCTGGTGCGAGGGTCTGCACGGGAATTTGGGGCTCAAGTTGGGCCCGAGCGTCCGGGCGGCCGTGGCGCGAAGGCGCAGGATCAGCTCTTTGACAACTGAGCGCCTGTGGAGTTCGGAAAAGGGCGCAGGTGGTTATTTTAATTAAAGCATCTGTGTGTGAAGAGATCTCGGATCTCTATAAGAGATTCGGTAGTTTAGGAACGAACGAGGGCTGTAGAAATGCCCGGGCTCCCACACCTCCCGTGCGTTCTGTGCTCAGAGGGCGGGAGCGTGGAACCCGAGGGCTCCTGAATTATGCCCACTGGCTTTTCACCCTGCGTGGTAACTACCAGGCTGGATTTTCCTAACTCGAGCCAAAAGGCTAGTTTCTGGTTTGCTTAGTCACTAAAAGAAAAATTTCGGTCTTTTTTAACCAGAAGGGAGTAATTTTCTTTTTTTTTTTGAGACGGAGTTTCGATCTTGTTACCCAGGCTGGAGTGCAATGGCGCGATCTCGGCTCACCGCAACCTCCGCCTCCTGGGTTCAGGCAATTCTCCTGCCTCAGCCTCCTGAGTAGCTGGGATTACAGGCACG